AAAAAAAACATGTCAAACATGGCAAAACAGCAAGGTAAAAACTTGCAAAGCTCAGTGCTCACAAAAGTTCATAAGCTACTTTGCCATGTTTGTTGCATGTTGAGCAACCCATTCAAACGGATAGACTGCCATCTAAAGTGTAGCCTAACACATAGACATAGGGCAGCACAGTGGCTAAATGGTTAGCACTTTTGCCTGGCAGTACTAGGGCCGTTGGTTCGAATCCCAACGATGGCATCATCTGGCTTCAGTTTGCTTGTTCCTCCCTTGCTTGCGTGGGTTTTCCCCAGGTACTCCGGTTTCCTCCCACACTTCAAAGACATGCTGTTAGGTTAATTGGATCCTGTCCAGATTGGCCCTAGTATGTGTATACAGGGCTGTGGATAAGGGGGAAACACCAGCCCTCCTGCATGGGGCCCAGACAGCTGGGTGAATTGGATGTGAGAAGGAAGGGTGATTGGCACAGTGGGGGGGGGGGGGCACTGGAACCAATCCCCCATATAGCTCTGTCTGCAGCAGCAGAAAGCTGGCTTCTTCTCCTCAACCTCCAGCAGGCTTTCAGCTGCTTCAGAGAGAGCCAGGGGATGAGTTCCAGTAATAATCCCCCTGTCACACCCATCACCCTTCCAGTGCATCATACGTTTCCCCTTACTGCCTGGGCCCCCCTGTGTGCCCCTACCCCCGCAGCGCTGCCAGCATCCCCCCTCACCCTCTCACTGGCAGCTGCAAGCACACAATAGGATCCTTCAGGATGGGAGAAGGGTCCAGTAAATATGTCACATTTACCAGTACCTTCCTTTCCTGCATGAATACAATGAGTGATCATTACTGATCACTCACTGTGTTCATTCATAGCTAAAGCATAGTAAACTGTTTTTTTTTGGGGGGGGTGGCTGTCAAGTTGGCTGTATGGGGCCCCTTGGTCTCTAACAGCAGCCCTGTGTGCATGTATGAATGTAAGTTAGGGACATTAGACTGTACGCCCCTTGAGGGTTAGGGACTGATGTGAATGTACAATATATATGTAAAGCGATGTGGAAGTTGACAGCGCTATATATGTACCTGAAATAAATAAAAAATAGACAAATGCAGAGCAATTATGCATGTGTTCACAAAATGGTAAATGTAAATGCAGGCTAAGAGGCATTTTATGGGCCTATTACAAGCATTTTTGTGCATGTATTCAGAAGTTTGTTTCCCGGACTAGGCAAGCAGAGGAGAGCTGTTCTATAGGAGAGAAGAAGAGAAAATTTTTCAGGTATAAAAAGAATGCAAAAATGTTAATCAATGTGTTTATTACAAATTTACAAGCACTCCCATAGAAGTCTATGGTACTAAAAATGCCTGACAGTGATGCAGAGGCAGGAGAGTTGCCCACACTCTTTGCATTCAGGGCCATGCACCCGTTCCTGTGTACCTGTCAAACTCGGATGTGTGGATGTGTCTGTACAGCCACTCCATCTCTATTCACTATCAGAAACTAATTGCAGGCAGCTCCAGACATGTAAACAAACACCTCATTCACACTGTACAGGCCACTGTCCTCATGTGAATGAGACCTTTAAATTAACTTAATCAGAATGCTCATAGATACAGAGATGATTGAGGGCTTATTTTAAAGCATTTTACTGCTTCTTCGGAAAATATAAATATGTTAATGTGCATGGCCATAGCAAAGATTATTTTTAAAATGGTGAAAAATATGATTTTTTTTTTAAAAGTAGTGCCATATTACCCCATTTGCAGGAAATTTTTGTCTTGCTAGTGTAACCCATTGAAATAGTGTTTGATGCAGTACTTTAAAATGGCCTTTAGATGGCGGTAGCCTGCCATTCAGGGTCATTCACATTGGCAGAACAGCCCTCTGGAAATTGTATGCTGAACAGCAGAACCTGGATGGTGAGCAGGGCACTGGGACTGCATTTTCCAGGGGAATTAGCGGAGGCATTTAAATATCAAAGCCCGGGAGACAGCAGAGGAGTGAGCGTAGAGGAGAGAGGATGAAGTGTGCTGACTGCTGAAGTGCTGAACTAGGCCATATAGCCAGAGTTGCTGTCCAGCGAGCCAATCTGATAGCAGGAGACCAGACGGGAAGCCGAATTGGAAACTGGAGATTCTGTCTAAGATCCCCATCAGCCAGAAAAGCCGCTATAAGCTGCCGAACCATATTGATTTGGTGAGAAAGTCCCAAGTATCCACCAGCTAAGTGAACACTAACAGTTTCATCACCTTTGCTATTTACCTGCACATAGTTGTGAACATTACATACAGTTGCCCCAGGTTGTGACCTAGTTCTCCCAGCCAATCCTGTTGGGATACATCTGCATCACAGTCTTAACATCCAAGTTGACTGCAGGACATACAGTTGCAGTTGAACACAACAGTGCCAACTGAAACAACAAGTTCCCTTTTTCAGCAGAGCGGGATTCCTACAACTGTTGTCTGCCTTTTATCTAGTGCCTTAAAGGGGACCTTGCACTAATTCCCTACCAGCAAACAAGAAAAGTGTTAAAATCCTTCCTTATGTTTGTGTTACCATACTATCATCTACACCTTAATTCAATTTCATACCAAATGGGCCCCAACAAGCGTTCAGAAGAATATATAGTATTCTTAAAGGAACATTTATCAATTTTAAATGAGAGCTCTCTTCACTTCACATTTAATCCATGTCTTCTAGTTCTGAGGACCCACAGTGAGCTTACCTGTTTGATAGTTGTTCTTGCTCACTGGGGATTCAACAGTCTCCTTAGATTAGAGGCATTGGATTATTCCTGAAAGCAGGCCTGCTTACAGTTACAGGTATTTCACTGTGAATGCTGTTACTTTTACTTAAAATTGACAAGAGTGATTATGTTTGCTGCTTATACCTATGTTATTCTGTTCTTTTTGACCAAGTTACATTCATTGCCCATATAAACTTCATATTGGTTCATACTATCTTGTGTGTGAGTCCATACAAGAGTATGGTGGTGTCAGCAGAGGCTGGGCTTTCAAAAGGCGGTTCAAATTGCCAGAGAAACCACAAATTACTAAGTAACCCCTTGAGGAGGTAGCGCTACACTAGTGATTTTCCTACCTGTTTAACAAATGCATTTTGCAGGGCTGGTGGTGCGCTAGACAGCTTACTGGCAAATTGAGTGTCTTTCACAGCATTTACAACATCCTTGGGTTCCAGGGCCAGTAGATTCTGACTCGGCAATCCGCTCACCAAACTGCCAAGGTTCGTCAAGTTTGCAATCTGAGGGGAAAGACAATAAATATTGATTAAAAGAAGCTATATACTTTTTCAAATATCAATGTGTGCCAGTCATCAATTTTAAAGAGATAGGGAGCCATAATGAGAGACTATATATAATGCTGTGCAATTGCGATAAATTACAGCTTATCAGTCCTTAGATGTGATAGTTGCATTTGTTTTCTTCTTTCAGACTTATTTTCCCTTTATTATCACCTTGTGATCCAGCCACTAACACACTTCCTGTCTTAGGGTAATAACATTCACTCCTCTGTATATATGGAGGAGGGAGTCGTGGTTATTACCATTGGCTTCTCTCATTATTTGGATTACAAACATGTCTCTTAAAGCTGAAGTTTAGATCTGGCAATTTTCCATAGTTACATTGGTCCAGTTGGACCAAAGGAAGTATGTATGTGCTATACCTGTGGGATCCCTGTGGAAGCTGGAAATCACTGTAGCCTGAACCGCTACTACTTCGCTACTACAGTGATCTGCACTAGCTTCCGGTTCCTGTGCCAAGCAGCTGACCTGCTGCTTACTGATACAGGAGGTCACGCGCTCCCAGGGACGGAGTGACAACTCTTGGGGCCCCTGGGCAATAGGGGATCAGAGGGCCCTTGTGACCTTGCCCACACTCAAAGCACACCCAAAAAAGCCTATAAAAAGGTACCAGGGGCATTTCATGGGGCCCCCTACTGACCCTGGCCCCAGTTGCCCGAGTGCCCAAATGATCAGTTTGCCCCTGCTCGCTCTGCATGAACAACACACTTTCTGCAATGTATTCTCTGATTGGACGAGGTTGAGATTGTGACATCACCACCTTGCCTCTCCAGCTTGTCCATTTAAGGGATGCTTTGCATTTGAGTGGATGCAAAGTGTTTTCTGAATGGAGCCACACCAAGCGAGCAACCTCATGTGTTTGCAATGCAGCAGGGCAACCGCTTGTCACAGTACCCGGAAGCTAATGGAGATCACTGTATTAGTAGTGCCTACAAGAGTGACTTCAGCTTCCACAGGTATGGCACATACGTATTTAGGCTAGGTTCACACATTTGTGGCTGTGCGGGTCGTGGTTTGCACGGACACTGCAGCACATTAATTTGCCTCATGAAATGCAGGAAAGAAGTCCCTGCACTACTTCTGAAATCGCAGTCCACACGGGAACCACGAGTACAATGCAATTCCCAGTGCGCTTTTCAGTGTGGGAGGCATGCCATTAGGAATAATGGCATCCGCCCACATGCCCTGCGATTCATTATGATGGTGCTTGCAGCAGCGACAATATGTGTGGGTCCCGCAACAGCACCACCCACATGTAAACCTAGCCTTACATTGGTCCAAGTGGGGCTATAATAACTATGTAAAAATTTACCATACCTAAACATCAGCTGTACTCTCTATTACATAGCAGGGAAGGAAATTGGTAGTTTACAGAAAGAATATAACATTGTTTTTGCCTTCGTTTCATCTCATAGGAAGTGACAAGTACACTGCATTTCTGGCAAGATCAACAGTATTTTCTGTACTTGCTGAAAAATAAAGACTAAAGCAGCCACCACATCTAAGAACTGGCAAGCTGCAATATATGTTACATTTTTTGTTTTCGGGTTTTGATACCCTTTAAAATGAACCTTTACTTTTCTCATGCAGGGTAAGGTAACAGGTTATCTTAAAATCAACTATGAAAGGAATATGGAATTGGTCAGAGAGAAAGAAACCTACAAAAGAATAGAAATACTTAAAGTGTTAATAAACCCAGGACCCTGCATTCACTATATCTGATCTACCCGGACCCTGCATTCACTATATCTGGTCTCTCCCCGGACCCTGCATTCACTATATCTGGTTTCCCACAGTACACAGAACATGAAAATGCAATTATTTTAGTAAATATAAACTGCTACAAACCTTTGCTCATCACTAGTATATAGCAGTCTTGTAACTTCTATCAGTGTCCAGTAGAGCACTGGCTAAAGCTTGTAGGTGGAGTTTTCATTCTCCCCTGATTGTCCTGAGGCTGCATAACCCCTGACCCTCTGTTTGGACAGCGCTGATTGGCCTTGTGCTGATCACATGTACCTTCCCAAGAAAAAAAAACTCTCTAGCAAACCACACCAAAATGAGAATGTGCAGCTTGCCCCCAAGGCTCTGTTCTATCAGCAGATGGATTGGGGACAGTAGAAGAAGGGGAGGATCAGAAAAGACAGGATCAAACAGCCTTTTTACACAATGCAGAGGATTAAGCCCTTAAGTCCCACAGTGAGTGTAACAAGCATGCTTTACTGCATATACAGACTGATTTTACCATTTTGGGTTTAGTAACACTTTAACTTCACTCTAACCTGTGCCTATGTTTAGGAGAAATTGTCTGCTGAAGTCTGTTAAGAATTTGATATTTCCGGGATGGTTGAGTTTTGATCAGTTGGATTCCACACTCCACATGCTCAGCTTTTCCTCCTACTGACCTCCATGTCATCACAGACAAAGTAATGATTTAGAGGTCAAAGGGAGGACCAATAAATAGGGGACTCAGAAGATTGAAGTGTTGGTTGCTCAGAGTGATTATAAACTATCCCATTCAGCTTAAAATAGAAATGAAAGGCAAATCATCTGTGTAAAGATAAAACATATATATATATATCTTTTTTTTCTCCATTTTTACAAGTGACTGCATCCTCTCTCATCATCCTCTGTTCTCAGCTGCACAGAGAGGTGGGGGAGGAGAAACAGCAGGACATTGATCTTCCCAGTGAATGGCTGTGCAGGGTGGGGGTGTCAGGACAAGTCTGATCATTGGAAGAGAGCAGACTGAGTTCCCAGCATAGCTACAGACTGACCGGGCTGTGCTCTAATGTCTAGTGTAGTCAGTTTTTAATAGAAAGCAGGGGGACTGGCAGGACCACCAGGGATTTCACACAAAGGAAGCAATACAAAGAGAACAGGATACTTTTTCATACAAGTACACGGTACAGCAGGCACATATCAGGAATATGCAATGTTAGGTTTATATATTTTTTAACAGATGTCAGCAATGATTCTTCTTTTATGGAGTGACATGGGCAGTGAGAGAGGTAAGTATACACTCTCTTCTTTTGCAGAAGACACGGCTCATTTACACCTTCAATGGTCTGTGAAAAGCTATCTGCTGTGGATCACTTCACAGAGTAGTACAAGTGTGGCTGACATTTGGCTCAGCTTGCTGCATATCCCCATTCATTTGAATGGGTGGTGTTTGGCAGTGCTACTGCTTGGCATACACAAAGGGGGGTTATTTTTGTTGTGCAGTGAAGCAAAGCATCATGGCTTCAGCATGGGTACAACTGTTTGGCCGCCTTTGCAGCTTAAGGGGGGCTGTTGGAGGGAGGAAAAACATGGCTCAACTGCCTATTCTACCACCCCCAACCACAAGCGTAAACTAAGCCAGATTGCAGCAAAACATGTCAGTATTATTATTATTATACAGGATTTATATAGCGCCAACAGTTTGCTCAGCACTTTACAATATAACGGGAGACAATACAGTTCAATACAAGAGAGATAGGAGGGCCCTGATCCTGGGAGCGTATTATAAACCTAAATAGGAAATAATATAGTTAGTGATCTTTTTTTACTCACCGAGTAGTTTGATTTCAAGAGTTTTTTCATGATAGACTTGGTTTGGCCATTGTTCCAGCCGGAGACACTGGCCAGAGAAGACACGCTGGATTGTAAGTCTTTGTCACTTATTTTTTTCAATTTGTCCTGGAGACAGGCCCACGGCTGACTGGCCCAGATTATTAAGTGTGTCAGATGAGAAGTTGGTCAGTTGGCTGACCAGAGACATGGCTATCTGTGGAGAGGTACACAAAAAAGATTGACAGATACAAAAATTGATAAAGCCAACACCTGTCTTCATTATCAGACTGATAACTGAGGGGTTTATCCAGACCTAGATGGAGGTTTGTACATAATTACATAATTACATAGTTAGTCTGGCTAAAAAAAGACAAACGTCCTTGCAGTTCGACCATTAAAAGAAAAAAAAGTTATAATCCGACACCCACAGTTGATCCACAGTTGATCCAGAGGAAAAAAAAAACCCAGCAAAGCATGATCCAATTTGTCTCCTGCAGGGAAAAAAAAAGTCCTTCCTGATCCCCCAAGAGGCAATCGGATATTCCCTGGATCAACTTTACCTATAAATGTTATATCCGGTTATATTCTGTGTATCCAAGAAAGAATCCAGGCCTTTGTTTAAAGCAATCCACAGAGTGGCCAGAACCAACTCTTGAGGGAGTCTATTCCACATTTTCACAGCTCTCACTGTGAAGAAACCTTTCCGTGTTTGGAGATTACATTTCTTTTCCTCTAGACGTAAAGAGTGCACCCTTGTCCTCCTTGTCCCCTTTGGCTATTGGTCTATGTAAACACCAGGCTTTTTACAATATTGAAGGTAAGGAGAAAAAGAAAAACGTGAAAAAAGACTAAATCTTGATGAGCAGAACGTGCCTTGTGGGTTCGGCAAACTTTTCTGAAGTTCTGATGCTGAACCTGAACCCCATTAAAGTCAATGAGAGCCAAATCTTTGAAATGAGTAGTAGTTCATTCTCTAGGCTAATATCTATTATATCTGTAATAGGAACAGGGGCTAGGCGCTGCTCTAGGGGACACATACTGAGGCAAATAAATGTGTAAAATAATTCCATTTGGTGGGGAGAAGCATTTTAATGTGGTAGTAAAACGTTACATATACCCAGTGAAGTGACTGTCCTCATGTAATAAACTGAGATGAAACAAATCCTCTCATTTAAGTTGCACCTGTCTATCTGCAGTATTCTCTTCTCTACATCTGTTCAAATTACTGAATCTATAAAGCTTGTCTGAGAGTTTAGAAAAAAAAGGGGTGGAGAGCTGAAATTACACTCTGCAGAGCTCAGTGAGGAGAGCTGTGAGAGCTGATTGGAGGGAAGGGACACACCCCCTTCACACAGCTCACAGGAACAGAGGTGAGGATGTCAATCTGCTGGAGGTCCCTCACCTGTCCCCAATTTTCTCTTGTGACAAGAAAACCTGTCATTAGTGACTCATGCAGATAGCAGAGGAAGGAGGCAGCAGACAGAAATGACACTCAGTGCTCTGGATTGAGACAAATACACGCAATAGAAGGATATGCTTTTCTCATATTTAATGTCTGAGGTTTACAACCACTTTAAAGTGAAACATTAAAAGTTTTTTCAAATAACATGTCTGGGGATGCATTTAACTTGCCCATAAAGTGATGATTTATACAATTTACTGCAGCAAAACTGACATTTTCAAAACTGACAACCAGGCCAGGGTTGTGGGGAAGAGGCACTTATCCTCAACATGAGGACAAGGTCAGGGGCGGACTGACAACTCATAGGGCCCCCAGGCAATAGGGGATCATGGGGCCCCTGTGTCCTTGCCCAAACTCAAAAAAGCTTATGAAAAAAGGTACCAGGGGCATCTCATGGGCCCCCTACTGGCCCTCGGGCCCTCTGGCGGTGCCCGGGTTTCCAAATGGTCAGTCCGCCCCTGGACAAGGTTCTTTACTAAGGGGCATCAGGTGATGGAGTACCTGAATCCAATGATTTGGAGAGGTGTCCCAATACGTTTGGCAACATAGTGTATATCATTAAGTAACTCCACTTTTGCTGACAAAAAACATTCCCCTTGGGTGATCTATGTACATTGCAAGGATTTTAACACAATTTGTTGCAGAGTCCTACCTTTTGTTTTCTGAAGAAATAGCTGTTTGTTTGTTTGTTTGTTTGTGTGTCCATGTGCAGAGTGAATCTATATGTGAGTGACTTTATAATGATCAATCAGCTGCTGCACCTACAGGGCTCTAATGAGGAAAATTGCAGGGTTTGCATCCCTTCAGACATGATTTCCCTTTGGGAGTATCACAACAAAAATGACATATTTTTGTTGCAGGGGATGCTCAAAATCTGACTTCTATCTTAGTGCAGACTTCTGGAAAAAATCAGTGAGCCAATCACACAAGCAGGAAATGACATTTCTGAGGGACGTTCTGTACACCATCTGTGTACAGAAAGCCTCTAGGTAGCCATTATTGCATTGCATTTTACAGAGGATAAAAGTGCTGCATATTGAAAAGGAAAGGTCATTTTTAACAGCATTCAATGACTTGTGTCGCAATTATATTCATTTTTTTTATCTACTAAATTTTTACCACGAAAGTGGAGTTACCCTTTAAACACAAATGATATTCCCTTAAAGAAGAAGTTTACCTGCAGCTGCTCAGAGGTAGGGTTAGAAGCCGCCTGCCCTGGAGAAGTGCTGAAACATTGCTTGTTGATTTTGTTGGTAAGAGCTAAAGAGTCATCTACAGTCAGGTTCTTGAGAGCAGAAGGTTGCAGGAAACAGAGGAATACCATGGGGAGGCTGGAATACAGGAGGAGAAAATTCTCCTAACATTGACTTTGTGACTTACAATCTATTGAAAGCATATATAAAAGGAACATCATAGTGTTGGCTAGAGGGTAAATCAGCATGGGAATTACATTCACTTATTCAATTACCGTATTTGCCGGCGTATAAGACGACTGGGCGTATAAGACGACCCCCAACATTTCCACTCAAAATATAGAGTTTGTTATATACTCGCCGTATAAGACTACCCCCTCTTCCAAACACCAAATAAAACAAAGAGCATCAGATTTGATTTCAACATGTTAATTTATATTCGAATGCTTATGACATGCAGGAAAACTGTCACAAGGCTGTATGTTATCAAACATGTACAGTAAACATAAAACAGTGCAAGTTTATTAAACGTAATTCACTAAAGAAAACACACTCCCTCCTCGGCGCAAGCAACACTCCAAGTGAACCCTATGGACGGGTAGATGCTCTCCCTGTCTCCATGTCACTAGCAGCAGTCTGGTCCGCCCTTGAATCCATATTATGGATAGTACCAGTATTATAGTACCGTACCATATATTAATACCAAGTGACATACGGTATATTATGACCTGATAAGAGATTTGGATAGGGAGTATTTATCAAGGTATGCATAAGAAGGGGGCGAGGAGAAAGTTGTAAAATGTATAAAAGTATACCCGTGTGCATTTATTGTTACCGGTTTCACATGAGTGCCATTAGTATTAGTATTAGTGCCATAACAGTACCTGTCATTGTCACCATTGTACGGCCACAACACGACCGCAGCGCCTCCGGCCAGTCCCTGCATCTCCCTGTAATTGGCACTAGTGCGCAA